TGTTATCAGTTCAGGAGCCACGTGCCTCTATAGAGGATCTGTGATGGAAATCAGAAAACTTGTCAGTGTTTTTAAAAAAAAAAAAAAAAAGAAAAGAAAGAAAGCACTCTCACACTGTCCTCTGCCTCTCTATTCATCTACCTGAGATGCAGAATCCACATAGAGTCCTGAAACATTTATAGCACATATTTAAGCCTTGGGAAAAGAATGGAACAAAACAGCATGAGTATCTTAAAGGAGACCACTTGAGTGCCGTGTCTGTGGCGATAAAGCTTATAAAGATGGGCTCCCTGTCAAGGATGTGTTAAGATGGATTATATTCCTTAGAAAACGCTGCCCTGTGTAGCATGCGTTACTGGAAGCATGAGAAGATCAGGATCGAAGAGTTTTTGCGAGACAGGCTTTATAGATCTGTATGTAATAGAGCACCTCTTTGTCTACAGCGCTTTACTGTTGGTGAGGTCTTGCTCTGGCATGGCCCGTTGATACGCCGTCCCTTTTCTTCTATCGCATTTGTTTTTTTCTTTCCCTTGTTTAGACACCATACTTTGGCAAAAAAGTTGTTACAAGTCTCTCGATAGAAAGCTGCAGTCAACACAGTCTTAGTCACTATGCAATTCAAAAGGAAGTTCTTGGTAGGTAAGTTCAGTGCCAAAAGAGTCCAGTTCGCCAGGTCGTCTTCACCAAATACGTTGGCTCCCTTCCACTGTCCTTCAGGTAGGAGTGTTGCCAGGTGTTCTTCTGAACAGACGACAAAGTAGGTTTTGGTGGCTCTTCAAGAGAATTGATTAATTGTAAAGCCAGTCTATTAAAGGTCCTATCCCAAGTTCTTTCCTTTAAACCTGAAGACTTGTTACTCCCTCTCCCCCGTTGCATGATGTGGCACTGTATAGGAGAAAGGTGGTCTTTAAGCTACTCTGTACGTGCTAAACGTCATTTTTAGGCGGTTAAAGCTTTTTGCAGCTGTGCAGTACAAATGTGTCAAGCTCTACCATCAGCCACTTGTTTTGGATATGGATTGTAAATTAAGTGTTTTCAAATAATATGTAAATATGTTTTAATACATAAGATTGGGTTTTACCCCTTATTCTGCTTAATCGGATGTGTATACTCCTGAAAGTGAATTACTTAATTCTATCTGACTCTGAGTGTTGGGCTTGAATATAAACACCCTTGGTCACATAGATCTCTGCTAAAAGAAAGTACTGAAATACTAATAACTCACTCTTAATACTGTAATTTCCTAAATGAGATGTGCATTTTCCTGAGATTTCTATTGTACATATGCAAATTCATATTGTAGTGCAATGTAAGTTTTCCAGGCTAGGAGAGGCAGACCCGCAGGGAAGTGTAATTTTTTTTCTATCATTTATTTAATGACACGAGGAAAACCAGTTATTTCTTTAAAACTTTCTTCACCACTTAACGTGGGTCCCAGTTTCAAGCCATTTAGGAGATCCATTAAGCCACTGGGTTGCTCCTCTACGTGCATTAGTAACAGGCTTGATGTAATATGGAACAGGCTTGCTGTATCACGGACACATTTATGAAGACTGATAACAGCCAGGGTTCAATGTTAACTTTTATTGTCAAACAGGCTGCAGGAGAAACTGCCTAGTATTGCTTTTGCTTTGATTTATGAAAAGGTTGCCGCAGGAAAAAAGACATCGCA